TAAAATGAATCTTTTAATTAGATAGTAATGCCATTTCTGAGCCTAACAGCAAATGATTGATTTAAACCTATTCATGGACGTCCGTATTGGCTGGACAGTGTTTTTATAGGCTAACAGCCTTACAGCACTGAACTGCACATTTTTTTTCACCCCGGGTTTTCTTCTTCTTTTTGTTCATCAAAGCACAGGAATTACACTGTGTGTGTTTCTGAGTACATTCTCTTCAATAAATGACTTTCAGCCTCAGAACTCTCGTTAGCTTCATTCATTAGCACGCAGGTTTTTACCAGCCCTGTTTAATTTTTCATCATTTAATGAAGCCTTAGTTAGAATTGAATTTGGCTTTGTGAGACCTGTAGATAGCGTTGAACTTTATTTATTATTCCTCATTTTCTCCCACTCTCATCCCTCCCCGCTCCTTTCATCCCCTGTTCCTCTCTGTCACCCTGCTTATCTACTGCTTGCTTTTTTAATTCCCGTCTCTCTGATCTGCTCTTCTCACATCGTCTTTGAATTGGATGTGGCCCTGGGGGACCCTAAATCCAATCCACTGCTCATATTCCCTTCAGCATTGTACCGCAGCTCCAGTCGAGACACACCTTAGCGAAGCAACACACACGATGTGCGAGTTTGCCTCTCACATCGTGCTGAGATTCTTCTTTTCATCGTCAACGTCTTACACTTAAAATAACGCGCACAGGTTTATCGTTTTGTATCATTTTTGTGGTTCAAGGATTATTTCTTAAAACGGAGATGTCAGGCTTTTTCATTCAAGCTCCTGTTTTATTTTGTTTTTAACTTGCACAACATAAAGACAAATGTGATTTATTTATAATTCTGTGCAAGCATCGATCATTATAAACATTAAAAGCACCAGCGCGCGACGTGAAAAATGTTGACAGTTCTGCGGGGATTCCTTGGGTTGTGGAATTTGTGTTAATGTTTCCTTCACAGGGACCACCCATCCTTAGCTCTTAGCTCTGCCAACTGTCAGATTTATGGCAGCACCTCCCTCAGGCATGACACTGCTTCTTGCTATTCCCCCAAACACTTCTCAGGACCAGCTCAGAACATGACAGTGAGCCCAAGGTCTTTACCAGAGGCCTGTACAACAAAGCAGGATTTGGGTGTAAAACATCAACTTCAAGTTTAACCCCGGATTTTCAGTATTACATAGTATTCTTACCAGGGTTTATCATCACAGTAACTGAAGCAGGTTATGTACACGATAAGAGGTCAGCAGATTTAGAATACACATCTAATAATCAATCACATCTCCATAAAACAGCATTACTAGTGCTGTAAGAATCCTCAGCACTTAGTGTGTGGCTATTAGTAAAGTATCTGAAAAGCATCTGAACTTTGTTTTCCCCTGATGACAACTTTAACCCTTGATTTGTTTTCCCTGTTGGCTAAAACAATTTTAAAATTCTCTTATTGTTCTATAAACCTTATACATCTCAAGTACACATTACATGTGGACCTTACATAAAATTTGCAAATAAGCTTAGGCTACGTCCACACAGGTATTTTTGAAAACGCAGATTTTTCTATGCGTTTGCCCCTTTTGTCCACACGTAAACGGCGTTTTCAGTCACTGAAAACTGAGTTTTTTAAAACTCCTGCCAGGGTGGATATTTTTGAAAACTCAGTTTTTGCGTTTACGTGTGGACGAGAAAAACTGAGAAAACGCAGCGTCAAAGGTGTGCGCCTTTTTTGACGTCACACTGTGCGCCACGTTATTGTTTCGGTGAAATGAATTTCTACAATACTATTACTGTTAATTGTACTCTGCAGTGTTTAAATGCTTACATATACACACACAGTTACTGTGCCTCCACACATACGACTCGGTTCTGCTTCTATGTCCCAGCTTTGTTTACTATTTCCCACCGAAGCTTCTAGACTTCTGATTGGCCAACATTTCTACACGGTTAGGAATATATCGCCACCTGTTGCTTTGGCATGTTCCTAGCAGCGTTTTCCTTCATTTCTGCGTTTATGTGTGGACGGGATTATTTTTTAAAACGAAAACGGAAAATCTCCGTTTTCAAAAATACCCGTGTACGTGTGGACGTAGCCTTAGTCTACAGTACAATTATACAGAGTTTTTATGCTTGCTCTCTGCCTGTTTAAGTGAAAGAATAAAGCAAAAATTGGTTCACAAGAATCCAAAGTATTCTGTTAAATTATTGATAAACATTCAATTAATGCAATACTTTAATGTAACCAGTCAGATTCTCTTGTTTCTTAATGACAGAGCGCTCATACTGAAGTCTGTTAACTTAGACAGTCAGCATAGTTGCAGGTTTTCCTTCCTTTCTTCAAACTTCAAACAGGCTAAATTTTATCAACATAGTAACTCTTTCCCAGTCTTACCGACCATTGTATTTAAACCACACATTCATTACACACACTCACACTTCATAGTTTTCTAACATCATAACTTGATCTTCCTCTGTAGACCTGTCCCTGTTTGTAATTCTCCGATCCTGCCAGCACCACCCCTTTCATGTAAACACACTCACAACTAGATTGTTAAATCCTGAGTTGACTTATCAAATCACCTTCATGTGACTGCTTAGCATAATTGCTGACTTTAGGGCAAGTAACAACTGAGAAGGAAAAGAGATCCTAGCAAGTTCAACTTGTTTCATAGTAGAGTCCACAGATCCAGATTCTAATGTCAGTTTGATTGAACACCCATATGAACCAGACCAAGCCTAATCCACTGAGGGCAAATCCTTTGGGTGTCGCAGCCCACAGCACACAAAGGATTTGCTGCCAGACACCAAAGGACACTCCCACAATCCCATATCTGTTTCCTGACAGGTCAGAGGGGTTTTGTCACCAGAAGGAGTGCCGGCGTAATACCAGGCAAGCGGTTTTAAAGTTCGACCTATTGAAGTACAAGCCAACCACAAAGTAAAACCTACAAACTTAGTAAAATACTGTTGCATCTTTGAGTTTCTGTGTAGTGCCATACTCTGCCCCGACAGAAGATTTATGAATGACATCAGGCCTGTGGGCATTAATAGACATCTACTTGCTGGTAGTGTGTGAGGTTTCAAGAGGAGAGGAGAGGAAAGGAGAGGAGGGATGTGGAATCTTTTTATAATGTAGTTCAGTCCAGTCAGTTCAGTTCAGTCAGGTGATGATGATGATGATGATGATATTGTTGGTGGTGGTGAGGGGGGGTTACTGGTAGAATTATGAAGATAACGTGTTCATGGATGGTAATATCAACATGAGGGCAAAAGCTGATAAACAATGAGAAATAATAAAGAAACTTTTGACAGCTGAGATGAAAAACGTGGATGATGTTGCTGATAATGTTAGTGGCAGTGACAACGAATAAAAAATGAGAAAAGAGTAAGCGGAGGAGTGAAGATGGTGGTGACGTTGTCACACAAGAGGAAGAGTTGATGTACAGGATAATGCAAAGAATGTTGCTAAAAGAAAAACGGGCAGATGTTTTTATTTCCTACAAGTTCGCTTAAGCTGGGCGCTCTTTTCGGTATCCTGCGGCTGTGCTCTGCCCTCCACTATCCCATCGCTTCATGGCCAAATGAGTCACGCACGCATCATCATCACAATGAGATGCATAAACGAATAAATCCCACTTGCGCAGGCACGGGACGTTAAAGAGGAAATTTCAGTGCCTCAGTCAAAACATGCCACTAGTTCGCTTGTCACATCGCATCACGCATGATTGTTTTCACGGCGACAATCATCCGTCGAGTCTAAACGCGTGCGCTTGGGATATGTGGCTATCCGGCAAAATCACGGGAGAAGAGGAGAGGAGAGGTGGATGAGGGTGTGTTCCTGGAGGCCAGATAGGTCAACGACTGCGACTCTAACATAATCCTGATCAGTCGAGATGACAACGAATACCAACAGGGGGAACCCGGAGCTTTGTGCGTCAGTGCGCATTGGAGAGGCGATAAATCAAAACACTGCTAGAAAGCGCTGTTGTAGTGCGCCATCTCATCTCTCTCTCTATCTCTATCTATCTTTCTTTCACCCCCCCTCCCCTCCGCTTTATCGTCTTCCTTCTCCCCCTCTCGTGTCTCTCCTCTCTTTCTTTTCGCCATTCTCTCAGCGTCTCCAAACGCGCGCAGTGCTGCTGAATGAGGTTTGTTTGTGTTGCAGGACTGAAAGATACCAAATAGTCTCCCTTCTATTTCTCCCCATTCCCCCACTAATGGAAACCCCGTGGAAACAGCCCATTTGATGTGGAAATTCGGTCAAAGGCACTCGTTTTCGCGCGCAAAAATACGCACGCGTCATTTTATGGCGATTGCCATTGTGCACCATCTCTGCTTATCATTTTCGACTCACTCACTGGTGATGCCACTCACCACACACGCGCACACGTTCGAAGACAGCTGCTGCTCACCCCAGGGCCACTGTTGCCCCTTTGTGTTTTTGCCACAGTGCAACCCCGGCACTACCTCCCCGCTCAGAATGGCTCAGCCTGGGATCTCTTGATCCGCAGAAAGCCGCTCCAGACCTGAGCACCGGAGCTAACACACGTATGTTCAACAGCTGTCTTATCCACCACCACGTAAAAAAAAAAAACAGGTACAGAGGCGGGGCGGCACTGCCAGCCAATAGGTCGAGCTCGCAACAATTCATCCAAATTTTCTCCACACTTTTTTCCTCTCCGTGTTTGAATCTTTTATTATTATTATTATTTAATTTTATGGTCTGCTCAGTCTCTGACTCACAGGTGTCTGAGGAGTGGACGCTGCCCAAGAACGTTGTCGGGATATCCCTCTGAGCATCTCTGTGTTTATATTCGCCAAATAAGCAAAGCTCAGCATTGCACCGACAACCTCAACGTGGCAGCACGGTGTCTCTCCAGCGCGCACACACCGCATCCCACAAGTGCAGAAGTCCACCCCCCCATCCACTCTCGCCCCCCAACACTTCTCCCCGCTAACACTGACAGCTGAGCCCAGCTCGTACAGAACACATCGTGTTTTCACTTGTCTTACCTTGATCGGAGTTCCCGGTCTGGCAGGGAAGAAGAGGATGAAGGCGTGAAGCTTTACGGTCCGTTCTGCAGCAGCAAAAGACGGAGAGAGCGAGAGTATTATCCCCGGACGTGCGTTCCAGCAGAGAGAGGGAGAGAGAGAGAAGGGGGGTGGGGGGAGATCCAGAGAGAGAGAGTAAGGTGGGTGAGCAAGAGGAGTGATGAGGGACGGAGGCGCGCTAACGGAAGAGAGAGAGGGGATGGTTGACAGAGGGATGATGTTGAATCGTGGCAGCAGCCGCTCCCAATCAGACGCAATACCTGCTGGATACACTGAGAGGAAAATTTCAAAGAAAAATCTTCTGCAGGCTTTTTCTTTTTTCTCTCTCTTTCAGAAATGTCGGCTGCGCGTAATTAAAATGCCAAAGCAAGCCCGATGTCAATATCAGGAAGATTCCCAGCGGTACGAAACACATCTCAGATTTTTCTCTAGTTTCTGCCCTCCCTTGTGTTAATTGTGCTATTTTTATCCCCATTTTTAAATAGGTTTGTTATATAGACAGCATACAGGTTTCACCTTAGCTTTGATTCAATGAGAGCACTCATTTGAAAAAAGGACAACATATTATAACATAGTTCTGCTTATGGCTCAGTCTAACCACGTGACAGCGGCATGTATTACTGACTCAAATCAGTCGATCTTAAGAATGGTGGGAGGTTACGGGCCACTGATACCTCCACGGGCAGCAATCACATAATGTTTGGTCCCGAACAACGTGTGGGGTAAAGCGGGATGCCGCTCCTGCCGTTACTTGCGCAACTTACCACTTCCCCATGCAGGGACGCGCAACTGCTTTCCAATCTGGGCACGTAGCAACGCGCCTCAAAGTGCGCGCCCTTGTGAAGGGGCAGGGAGGCAGGTTCCCGCACACGCGCACGGATCTAAAGTGGAAGGCGTGGAAAGAAAAGGGGGAGCTCCAACTGTGCCGATGACGTCATTGTCAGTCAGCTGTTGAGGTATTGATTTGCTCCCATGTTGTTTTGCTCGTGAGTACCTTTCGATGTGTGTGTGTGTGTGTGTGTGTGTGTGTAGAAGATTTAGAGTTTTTATGTGCCTTCCTGTATCTCAAATTTCTGAAAACCCCACAGGGTAACACTTTTCTCTGGAGCTCCCTTCATCCTGTGGGTTTTCATCCTGCGTGTAGGAGTGATACTTGACTGATTGCCATCGCATGTGTGATCGCACCCAGCTCGATATTAACAGTGAGGGGAATTTCTATGTTGTGTGAGTGAGTGAGGTCATTTGAGCCCAGTAAGAGATTGCCCAAGCACAGCTACACTGGGAACCTCGGGAATTCAGGGTCCCCTGTATTGCAAACGGATTTGAGTAATCTGCAGTTTGTCAGGTACTAAACTGTTATATAAACATCATTAATGGACAAAATTGATTATGTTTTTGGGCTGTGTATGCTCGCATGGTGCACATTCCTAATAGAGTTTAACCACATGTGAAGCATCAAATCTGATTTAATGGAGTAACAAAGTATGTGTTACTCCATGCATGAGGGTCAGCGTGGACTAAATCAACACATTCTCACTCTCTGCTCGTCTGGTACTGACGCTTGGGGAGGAACTCTTTCTTGTCAGTGTGATACTCCATTAGTGTCAATCACACATGTGGTCTCCAACCAGAAGACAGAGAAGACTATGTGTTGTGTCTGGAACCACTTTTTTAAGCACTTTATTTTAGTTTAGTTTTTCTCTCTACATTTTCTTACACTGTTTGGTTAAGGGTATGCAGCAAATTTGATATTGCATTAGTAATTAAGTAGGTATAGGCAGTTTCTGCCGCATGATCGAGTGTTACAGAATGGATTTGTTTGCGGCAGTTCCATCTCCAGCCTGGAGGACCTGGGACTGCATTGTCTCAGTTCTCATTTCATGCAACACACTGTAGTTCTGAGGGTCCCCAAAGTTTGAAAGCCTACAAACCACAGTAATGTGAAATGCTATGCTTTATCTTTCACCTGGGGTGAAGAGAACTAGTAGTAAAGTTGAAACAGTGATGGCTTTTTTCACTTGCAGCTGCTCGGCTCAATCAATGTGGGCTGGCAAGGCTATAGGTCCTGTGAAATTAATTGTATATCACACAAACACAACACACCAACGATGAGTGGAGTCTCAGAACCAAAGAATGTGTGTAACCATTTCCCTCATAAAAAAAACAGGTTTGATTCTTGTGAAGGAGTCACTCTCATGACATTACTCCCATTATTCCATTATATACCTGGTAGCAGGTAATCCCACCTAACAGAAAACACTAAAAACCGAGTAGAGTCGAATCAAGTAGAGCCCAGTATGTGCGAGCTGAAAAGAGGATTAAAGCTACTTTGTTAGATTTGGCATTAAATTATAATTAAATTAAGTCTAACTAAAACTGCACGGTTTGGTTTTGGATGAAAAAAAGATAACGTGGGTTAAAATACACCGTTTCACTCACCATTCAAGCTTCTCTCAAATATAACAAGCATGTTAAAGCTGATCACTCCAACATGTGGCGCTTAGATTTTAGTGATTAAAACTCTGTTTACATGTGAATGGAAGGCCAAAACACTTTAAATAAGCCAACAAAATACCTGTACTCGTTTTCAGATTCTGACTGATTCTGGCTGAACTCTGTCAGGCTGTCAGGCACACCGAAAACAGGCTACTAAAGAACTAACCAGCTTATTACAACATGAGCCCGATGGGTCCTAAGTGTCAGTAGGAGATGAGTTTGAAATGACACTTTTGCCTCAAGTACTTCAGCCCATTTGTGTGTGCAATCCAAGCACAATACACTAATTTTCTGTAGTGTTGAGGACACTAAACACATGTCATTATGGACATCTTACCCATTTTATTTTGCTCCTGATTAAAAGTAACTGCTACATAATTCTTCAGTTCCTTCTCAGTTTTGTAATTATGGAGACTTGCCTTTTCCTTTCCTTACTCTTTGCTGCAGTTTCCTTAGTATTCCATCATGTGTTCTTAACTGGTTTAGTCATCAGTCCAGATGTAAGTTTGCCCTCGGTTTATTTTGTTATATAACCCCAGTCTTGCGTAATTAAAGGTTACTGAATTCTGTCAGATAAATGAGTGATTTGAGTTTATCTGAGTTTTTCAAAAAGGCACTCGTTTTCTCTGGAATGCAAATTGATTTTTCACTCTCTTTCATCCATAGAAATCAGAAAAAACACAGTCAATGAATTTGATTTCATAATGCCATTTAAGGAACAGATGTCATGGACTGCAAGAGGATTTTCTATATAAGCATACATGCATGTTCTCAGAGAAAGAAGCCCTACAAGCTATCAAAATAACATATTTCTAATACCTGTAGAAATGTTGTTTCCTTTGCAAGTTAAAAAATGACCAAGCAAAGAGGCTGAGGAACTCTCAGCAGCAGGTGACAGGAAAATGGTGACTGCTGGCTCCTAAAGCATGCACTATACACTGGTCATAAGAAAAGGCACTAAAACGCCAGTGTGGGACCTAAACTCTGCAGCAGAACACATAGAAAGCACTTGATTTTTGTAACGCAACAGTGGCATTTAGTCACCTTTTTTCTGCTTTATCCGTTGTATCGCAAGTTCCAGTTAAGAATCAGCTTTCATTTGGATCCATTTCTCAGGGCGTATGGTCTAATAATTCATAGTGTAATTGCTGCACATTTGTTTGTTTTAGGTGAGCAATAACACCACAGAGGAGCTTCATAGCCTCCACATTTGTCTAGTGATGGGTGCAATTTCCCTCCACTTCCTGGCTGCTGTTGATAAATGAATGCCACAGGCAGTAGAGAGCTCCGACTCATATGGACATTGTTAGCTGGTTTACGAAATGTGATTATATATGGGCGATGCCACGGGAGGTTCTCTTAATGAAATCAGCTACATTTTCACACATCTCCCAAGTAGCATAACAGATTTTTATTGTAATTTTTCACATCCTCTCCACTCTTTGTCCCTTTAAAGCCTGAAGCATGAAATAATTGCCAGACATTATTATACATGGTTAAAAAATGTTGAATGTTTATCAAAAAAAAAAGTGACCGAAAGTTCAATTTTTTTATGAAGAGTATTTGCTACATCTGTTTGTTTTTTTTAAATTTAATTTAATGTATTTATTGCAATTTATTCCTTAAAAATGTAATGTGCAATTTCAACTCACTTCAAATCAGAAAAACTCACATATCAAATATCTTGGCGTTAAGGGGTTAAGTTGCACTGAAACAATGCAAAGTCAGCACAAACGAATAAAGTACCCTGCTGTGATTAGAAAACACTTGCGCTGATGGAGAACCACCTACACACACTTGCAATGCAATCCATCATTAAGGGTCAGTGCGTGTAAGGTTTAGCAGAGTGTTGTAATGCAGCGATTTCTTTCCCACATAGTTACGTACAGAACCGGCTTAAAGGTGCCACTGCAGCAGCCTGTAACTCATCAGACGTACTGGTGAAACAGTACTTGACACAATGAATCGAAAGTGACAGCAGGACAAAAGGGGTGTCGAGAACAGCACTTAATTGCAACATTTCATTTTACCTGGAACTGTTGCATCAAATCACCCACTGCACATATCTTTGTATTTTCTCAATGAGTCATATGAATTACAAAAACTGTTCCCTGCATTTTGCTTGGAGGGATTTTAACCCTTCATGGCAACATCCAGTTAAGAATGGCAGGATATATATGAGAGAATGCTGGAAAAAACAAAAACAAAGGAAAACTATGAAAATGAATGAATTTGGAGCTGTGACTCCATTAATAGGTTGGCCTACACATTTAATTACATGTAAAAAAAAAAAAAAAAGGCAATTTTTACCAGCATGAGAAAGAAATACATATTTGCTGTGTATCTGGTGGAGCAGTGAAGTCTTACCAGCTAAAGCCTTTCAACTGCTGCAATTCAAATCCTAAATCTAATCACTGGAATCAGAGTTTTTCTTTAAACTAGGTGCATCTAAGCAATGGTTTTCCTCACATTTCGCTTTAGGAAAAAACATATCATCAGAGTAGTGAGGCAGGGGAAGATGTTTTCAGTGCCAGAAGGTGTTAGAGGGGGGAATGCAGTTATTG